CTTAGGAAAGTCCTGTATAGGAAACAGGCCAACAGTACAAGAAAATGTGCAAGAAAATGTGAAGAAGGGGACATCAGCTTACTTTGTTCCAGCATGAATAGTTTCAGGTATGATGGTGACATGCCACAGGGTAATTTTCCTGGCAGGTGCTTGAGTAGCTGCCCCTGCCAGAGCAGAGGCTTTGATGCAGATGAAGCTTTGAGTGGTGGATACAGCTCCCCACATCCCAGGCTACAGAGTCTATCTCTGATGCCAGGAGAGATGGCCTTCTTTCCTGTAGGTGTGCTGTCTTGGAGGAACTGTGCCACCAAGCATAGGAGTTATGGAAGGAAGTGAGCAAGCTACACAGCATCAGAGAAGATGAAAAAAGAGATAGACAAGATCTTCTCTGAGATGCAACAGTTTGAAGAACCCTGGACCCCAATTGCAATAGAGATACAGGCAGTGTCCACACCTAGTGTTTAGGTAAGTGTAACCTCTGGAGAAGGTAAAGGATGAAAGCTGGTGACTGCTGGCACCAACAGTAAGGCTTCTGCTTCACCTAATGGCTTACAAATACAAAACAGGTTCAGTGGTCTCAAAGTTGAAGAGGAACCACATGTGCCTTCAAGCAAAGGATCTGTGCCACTTGACCCTAACCCATGCAGAACCACCAGAAAGCAGTGACTGATTATAATGGGCAGCTCCCTGCTGCAGGGAACAATATCTGTTGACCTGACCTGTCAACTAGAGAGGTTTGCTGCCTGCCTAAGCCCAGAAGTGGAGTATTGTGGAGGAACTGCCAAAGCTTGTCTGACCATCTGACTACTATCCTCTGCTGTTCTTCCACGTGGTCACCAACGATACTGCAAGGGGAAACGTGGAGAATATCAGAAGTGGCTACTTCTGTCAGTAGTCGAAGGCACAGAGGCCCAGGTGTGTTCTCCTCAATCTTGCTGGTTGGAGGAAAGGGTGTGGGGAGGACATTGATAATATAGGTCAATCAGGCTGCAGAACTGGTGTTTGTGACAGGGTTCTGGGTTCTCTGACCCTTGGACCCTGTTTGCAGATCGGTGTCTGCTTGCGAGAGATGGTATCCACATCATTAAGCAGGGCAAAGTTACCTTTGCTGACGTGACTGACCTGGTAAGAAGGGCTTTAAAGTAGGACTGCTGGGGGAGGGAGAGAGAGTCACCAGCAGCCCTGTGAAAGCATGATGCACAGGGTTGATGAGCAAAGAGCCTGGAGTGATGTGATGGGAAGGGACCACAAAATCAACAAAACAGGGCTTAAGTGGGCTCACCTCCATCATTTTTACACAGAGAAATTCCCGAAGCCCTTTCTAGGAAATCAGTATGCTAGGGTGCCTCTCAATAGTGCCTGTATAATAAAGTATGGTGAATAAAGATAATGAGTTAGATCTTTGTGCAGTTGTAGGGCTATGGTCTTGTTGGGATCACAGACACATGTTGAGATGGCTCCCATGAGCAGAGGTGTTGCAATGGTAGGATACAAAGTCTTAGGAAAGACAGACTGGGAAGATGAAAAGTTGGAGTTGCCCTTTATGTGACAACAGCTGGAGTGCCTGAAGCTCTGCCTGGGTTATGGATGATGAACCAACTTAGAGTGTATGGGTTAGGATTAAAGAGAAGACAGGTAAGGGCGACGTTGTAGAGTGTGCCTGCTATACGCTGTGTGACCAGGAAGAGCAAGTGGACGAGGCCATCTACAGACAGCTAGGAGCAGCCTCATGTTCACAGGCCCACATCCTTACAGAGAATTTTAATCGCTGTAATATCTGCTGGAGGGACAACATAGCAGGGCATAAGTAATCCTAGAGTGCATTGATATGAACGTCTTGACACAAGTGATAGAGCAGCTAATAAGGAGAGGTGCTCTGCTGGACCTCATACTCGCCAACAAATAGGGACTCAATGGGTATGTGAAGGTAAAGGCAGCCATGGCTGCAGTGACCATAACATGGTGGAGTTCAGGATTCTGAGAGGAGGGAGAGAGCAAAAAGCAAGATCAGAACCCTGGACTTGAGGAGAGCAGACTTTGGCCTCTTTGGGGATCTGCTTGGAAGAGTCCTATGGAATAAGATGCAGAGGGAAGAGGGACCCAAGAAAGCTAATATTCAAGTACCATCTTCTCCAAGCTCATTGAATGCAGCAGGGGACCTAGTGGCATAGGACATGGAAAATGCTGAAGTACTGAGTGCCTTCTTCAATCCCAGGTCCCAGAGACCAGGGGGGAAAGTCTGGGGAAAGGATGTCCTACCCTTGGTGGAAGAGGATCAGGTCATGGAACCATAGGATGGTTTGGGTTGGAAGGCACCTCAAAGATCATCTAGTTCCACCCTCCCTGCCATTGGCAGGGACCCAAAGCCCCATCCAACCTGGCCTTGAACACTTCCAGGGAGGGGGCATCCACAACTTCTCTGGGCAACCTGTTCCAGTGTGTCACAACCCTCACAGTAAAGAATTTCTTCCTAACATCTAATCTAAATCTACTCTCCTTCAGCTTAAGGCCATTACCCCTTGTCCTATCACTTCATGCCCTTGTAAACAGTCTCTCTCCAGCTTTCCTGTAGGCCCCTTCAGGTACTGGAAGGCTGCCATAAGGTGTCCCCAGAGCCACCTTTTCTCCAGGCTGAACAACCCCAACTTTCTCAGCCTGTCCTCATAGGAGAGGTGGTCCAGCCCTCTGATCATCTTTGTGGCCCTCCTCTGGACTCGCTTGAACAGGTCAGGGAGTAGTTAAACAAACTGGACATGCATAAGTCAATTGGACCTAAAGGGATGCACTGATGAATGCTGAGGAAGCTGGCTGATGTTTTTGCAACGCCACCCCATAATCTTTGAACAATCATGACAACTGGAAGAATTGCCTGAAGACTAGAGAAAAGCAATGGTCACTGCTATCCTCAAGAAGAGGAAGTAGGAGGACTCAGGGAACTGCAGGCTGGTCAGCTTCCCCCTGAACCCTGAGGAAGTGATGGAGCAGCTAATCCAGGAAACCATACCCAGGCACATGAAGGACAGGAAGATGATGAGGAGTAGTCATTGTGGATTCACTAAGGGGAAGTCATGTCAGACAACCTGATCACCTTCTGTAATAAAATGACAGTTTGGTAGATGAGGGGCAAGCAGTGGATATTGTCAACACAGACTTCAGTAAGGCTTTTGACACTGTATCCCATCAGATCCTCATAGAGAAGCTGTTGAAGTATGGGCTGGAGGAGCAGACAGCAAGGTGAATTGAAAACTGGCTGAATGGCTGGGCCCAGAGAGTTGCGATCAATTATATGAATTCTAGCTGGAGGCCAGCAACTAGCGGTGTATTCCAGGGACCAATCCTGGGTCCAGTCCTGCTCAAGATCCTCATTAATCATCTGGAAGATGGGGCTGAGTGTACCCTCTGCAAGTTTGCTGATGATATAAAACTGGGAGGAAGGGCTGATATGCCAGAAGGTCGTCCTGCTCTCTGGCAGATGGACCTTAACAGGCTGGAGAAATGGGCTGACAGGAACCTCATGAAACTCGACAATGGGAAATGTAAAGTCCTGCACCTGAGGAGGAACAAACCCATGTACTAGTATATACTGAGGGCCTCTCAGTAGGAAAGATGCTTGGCAGAAAAGGACCTGGGGGTCCTGGTGGACAGCAAGTTGAACATAAGCCAGCAATGTACCATTGCGACAACAAAGGCCAACGGTATTCTGGGCTGCACTGGGAGGAGTGCTGCCAGCAGGCCAAAGCAGGTAATCCTTCCCCTCTCCTCAGCATGGTGAGGACACACTTGGAGTCCTGTATCCAGTTCTGTGTTCCCCACTACAACAGAGATATGGACGTAAGGGAGAGTGTCCAGTGATGGTGCACTAAGATGATGAAAGGACTGGATCACCTCACATATGAAGAAAGGCTGAGGGAGCTGGCACTGTTCAGCCTGGAGCTGAAGGCTCAGAGAGGATCTCATTAATGTATATAAATACCTGAAGGGAGGGTGCAAAGAAGATGGAATCAGACTCTTTTCAGTGGTGTCTGGTGACAGGGCCAGAGGCAATGGGCGCAAGCTGAAACACAGGAGGTTCCCTCTGAACATCAGGAAATTTTTTTTTTTACTGTGTGGGTACTGAACATGTGCACAGGTTGCCCAGAAAGGTTGTGAAGTTTCTGTCCTTGGAGAGATTCAAAAGTCATCTGGACATGGTCCTGAGCAACTGGCTGTAGGTGTCCCTGCTTGAGTGGGGGTGTTAGACCAGATGATCTCCAGAGGTCCCTTTCAACCTCAACTGCTCTGTGATTCTATGGTTGTTTACATATTTTTTGGGGGTAGAAAAGAACAAAGAATATTAAAGATTTGGGCATTCAGTAGTAATATGCAATTTGGAACTTCAAAGCGTGCTTACAGCCTAATTAAAAAACCCTCACACCTGAATCATCTATAGTAAAAGCTAAATGCTCTCCCTGCCTCACCCTGAGTCTGCAAAGAAAGATGGGACAGTGCAAACACAGATCAGTGCACAAACAGTCATGTGTGAATATAAGCAGGCATGCAGAATGATGCCCAATAGGCAAGGCAAATAAAAACTAGCTTATATGAACATGTAGGGCTAAATGAAACCTGAAGACAGCAGTAGACAATATTATAATGTCATAGCATATCTAATCCAGTGAAAATAATCCCCTGTGCTCTTTGAATCCCTTGACCTGCAACTGCAAGATACCATACATTGTACTTCTCAATGTGTTACATGTCATGTCAAGTAACTATATGATACAGTTTATACACCTCTGTTTTATTTTGTACTCTTTCCTTAGTGTTGCTTTAACTGCCCTTCCTCCTTTATTTATTTATTTTATTCTGGATACCTTAAATATTTCACCTGTATTGATGATGAAAACAGCCATGTGAAGAAGGTATTGCTTTTGTACTATATTCCTAATAATTTCCTGGGCTTTATCTTAGCAAACTGAACCTGTGGATGGAGAAAGAACACACACTAGGAAATTACTTACCCTCCTTCTTCAGAGTATTTGTGACCAAAGGCAAGGATGTCAGATGCCCGGCCACTGCCATCGCATATCACAACAGGAACAGGAGGAGTGTCTCGCAGGTACTCCAGAACGATGGAGATAACATTGGGACCTCCTTCCACAATGAGGGCCACTACTGGAACCCCTTGACCAATTCCTGGAGTAAAACAAACAAACAAACAAAAAAACCCCAAACCCAAAAACCACAAACCAAACCCAAAAAAATCCAAACAAGAAAGAAAAGGAAGAAGAAAATCCAAAGCCAGCAAAGCAAACAAAACAAGAGAAGACAGAAAAAAAAAATCAGACTGAAATTACTGCATTGTGACAGTACAGTGTTGTGTTAGAGAAAATGGCATTCAGAAAATCATAGATTTAAAGGGCAGAAGGGAACAGTGTAGTCATCTTGCCAGTTCCACTGCATAAAACAGGATTTTCTAAAATTATCTTCCATTTTAAATACAATATTTATGGTTGAAATAGACCATGAATTTTTTAAAAGATCGAATCTTGGTTTGAAAACATAGAGAAGCTACCACAATTCTTCCTAACGTGTTCAGTTATGACTTTGTAGCTTGCTTGTAATTTAGATTTTGCATGGTGTCAGTTTCCAAGCATTGGGTTTTCCCGTAGCTTTGCTTGCTGTTTTAAAATCCCTTCAATGATATTTTTGTTGCTGTATCAGATGCATTTTAAAGTTATAGCTGGCTGGTCCATTAACTTTCACTTTGATAAACTAAACATATGCTGTTACAAGTCAATGCAATAGTTGTTTTCCAGTTCTAGTTGGTTTCATGGTTTTTCTCTGAATTCTCCCCAAATTTTGCAGCATATTCCTTGATCTGCAGACCCCACACTGGAGACTGCTCTAGAAAGAGCTGCAGTAGTCTGAACCAGAGGAGAGACATCTTCATTTTCAGTACTTGTGATGGAATTAGATGGGAGCCCTCTGCAAAGGTTTCAGCACAGACTTTGCCAGGAAAGTCTTATGGATATAGAGAAGGCAATCTGACACCAGGCTGGTGTCAACATGACTGATAAAGATTTTACAGTTGTCACTTCTTGACCAGTTGAGACTAGGGACATTCAAAAAGACTCAGGCAGTAGAACTAGTTGAACATTTTCTATTAGCATTTTTTTTTTGTCAACAGAAAGACTTTTTCCTTTTAAACTAGCTTCACCTAGGAAAAACTATATGCATTCTGCACAAAAAAATTTTGATGTTTCACTGAAAAATAAAGAGAGTGCCCCCAAATGTTAATAGCTGAGTTGGGAAAATTTGCATGAGGCCAGGCAACAAGAAGTTTTAATGTGACTGCCTCAGGTTTCCATTTAGGAGTTCAGTCCACAGAAGCAAAGGTAAGCATGTGAGACTGGAACATTAAATCTGGTTAAACCACCTAGAAACATTCATAAACAAAATTATTTTTGATAGTCACAAAATTTTTTAAGGATTTGAATTACTGTCAGAAAATGAAGTGAACTGTTCTTCAGAAAAGAAAAAAACCCCAGTTCTTATATACAACAGTAAAATATTGTAAGCACCTCCTGAACCACTTTACAAGCAAACATTGTGTTTCCTGGAGAGATTCTCAGCAGGCTTTGTTATGGCTGTTATCTTCTGCCAATTTGTGGCTCTTTTCTTATATAACTTAAGTGCGTGGTGTGTGTTTGTTTATGTTAAGAAAACTATAAGCAGAGTTATAAAATTCAGGCTAATGAAAGAGAGTAAGAAGGATAGAATATAACAAGGTGATTAACAGGATGATTTGCAAAGGTCTCACTGGTTAATTTTTTAATTAATATTAAGGACTTCCCTGAATTGCTGCTCTACCTAATCATTAAGTTCTTTTGGAGATGAAGTTCTTTTCAAAGGGCTTAGTGGAAAAGCAGTTTTGGGAAATGGAGTTAAATGAGAAAGGAAAATCAAGAACTTTGCTTAAGAAGAGTGAATTACAAGTCTGATGGGTTAACCTGCCCCACAGGTACTGCCATTAACTTCAAGGGATTAAGCTAAGGATGAATTTCATTTGGGAAATTTGTGTTGTTTACCTACATTCATTTTAATCATGCTTAAAAGTGTATTCTAGATATTGGCAATAATTTTTTTTCCCCTGAGAATCTTATAAATAATATAATTTTATTCCCATATCAACACATGTAATATGTAGATATATCTGGTTGCAGTTGAGCATGCACCAGAGAACCTCATGTGACAAGTCTGCCCAGGGTTTCCTTTGCTACTAGGTAACAATAGAAATGTTATCTATCATTATGTCTAGTACAAGATTTTTATTTTTTTTTAAGACAATTGCTATCAGAAGGTGAATAAAAATAAAATTCTTGATGTGGATTATTTTTCTTTATGACACTTCCCAGCATAATCACATGGTGGCTGATGAGAGCCTCTCTTTAGTTAAAATTTTAATAGAGCATTGGAAGGAGATATATTATTATTTAATTCCTCGTGGTCTGGCTAAGTTAATGTTACCAAGTTTTTTGAACTTTCTGTCACTACTTTCTTCTTCTTGTGTAGCTTTTCTTTACACCGCATTGTATAGCCAATACTTCTAGCATTTTTAGTTCTCCTAAGTAGTTTTTTTAAGATATGAGTTCTTGGTAGTTGAATAAGGATTTCTCTTCACTGTTCTTGTTTCAGTCCTCCTTGCTCAAAAGACTGATCACAGAGTGGATCTAACATGAATTCTAAGTAGGAGGCCCACAAGTTGCTGAAATCTTACATCAGATTTCCTCTGACAGTGTAGTATTTTCCTCTGGGAACTGACTGGTAGGGCCCATTTTATTTCATTATGGATCAAAAAAACCCCAGAGATGTGGTTAAAAGCCTGATCCCAACATTTACAAAAAGATGGTCTTTTGTACAGTTATTTGCTATAATTTCATATATGAAATATATGATATATATTTCATATATACATGATATATGTTAGCAAAGCTGAATGTAAGTGCACAGATTTGAAAGTATATAATTAATGGGTAGAGTTGTATGTGGAACTGTAGTAATAATGGAGTTTCTTATCCTGAACTTATCATTAGAACTTACCCTGATCTTATCATTATTACTAATGACTTCAAAATAAGAAGTAGAACTGGTACTGACATCTGCTAATAAGATAATATTAAGAAGTGTTTTCAGTAATGAGTCAAATTGGGTCTGGGTGACATTAGGATTGAGTAAAAGAAATAGAGAAAGTTCACAGTGCAAGATGCAAAGTAATTTTCTTGGTGATTAATAAGTTCTGCTGTGAAGTGAGAACTCATTAGGTGGAAATAATAGTAGAAAAGAGAAAGGTGTGATCCAGCTGATCACAGGAGAACTGTGTCTTTTGTGTAGCAAGACCATGAAGAAGGCAGGTATGATCCTGGAATACACACCGAAAAGCATTTTCAGTAGGAAATATGGGCACATCAGTGCCATTGTGCAAGCCACTCATGACATTCCGTGCAAAATACTGTCTGTAGCTATGCTCACCCATGCTCAAAAAGAACAAATGGAGGGAAAAGTCAAAAGGAGTATATGGGGAATCAAGACCCCATCTTATGAGACAAGATGAGTTTGGCTCATCTTCCTTAGCAAACTGAAGGGTGAAAGACAATATGTCTGAATATCCCCATGACATACAGCACATTAGCCATTAATAGTTTTAGATGGAGTTCAGAAGATTTCTGGCTATCAGAGGAGTGAAGTCTTCACAGCCTTTAGTAAAACTAAAAGGGAAAAACTTTCTGAGTTTAGAGTGATGCTCAAGAATCATTATAGAAGCAGTCAATGCAGTCACCTTATGTATCACAAACTGTTCCTAAAGCAGGTTTCTTCGGTCTGCTGACAGTTTGTTCAGTCTCAGTGTATTCTAGTGGATATTGATCAGCTATGTAATTCTAATAATATAAATAATGATGGCTAGTCTATACAGCTGAACTGTATTTTATTTTTAGGCCAATGAATTGGCAATTTGAAAGCATATCTGAAATTCCTATTACATTCTTTTTCTTTCTTTTTTTTTTTTATTTATTTTATTTTTAACTGCTATAGTCACAACATTTACATGGCATATAACAGTTCTCTGCAAGTGTTCCAGTTGTGTTTCACTGCGGTTAATAAGGTGGCCTTTTTTCTCTTCCCTGATCCTGTAGAAACATCCAGCATGAGAACAGTCTTCTAATTTGAGGCTAGTAAAACAAAACAATATCTCTACAAATCCACTTTTCAATGAAATCTTCTAGTTTTTAGTTAAATTAAGGTTCACATGAGCTTTTTCTTTTATCACATACGATTAAGTTCCAGATTGAAATGCAGCTCTCCACTATTCTGGCAGACTTATATGTGAATCAGAGAAGATTTAAAACACTAACTTGATTTCTACATCTCATTTTCCTTTTGGAAATCATCCCTGACTATCAGCAAATAGAATTTTTTTCTTTGTAGTTTTCATTGTTCTCCATAAATAATTTTGGTTTGAAAAAAAACCATAAATATATATATATTATTTTGGAGGGAAAATTAGAAAGTACATTTCTGAAATTAGATATAATATTTTAAAATCAGTTAATAATACTTTGTTGATATTTCTTCAGAGTATAACAACTTTAAGTGGGAATTATCACATTCTCAGTTTTCTATGATGTTCCCAGTCACATTTAAATTATTTGTGACATTACATTTGTTTCCGAATAGAAGTGTAGCTACTTACACCAGAGAAGTCTGCATCTCAATAACTCTCAGGCAAAACACAGAGCAGATATGCAGTAAATTTTTTCATGGTTTGATACCAAAAATTCTGGATGTACCTTTGCCACTAAATATTAGGAATTTGGAAATGAATGCAGAGGGTCTGTAGAAAAATTTCAGTGGGTAGGAAGACATTGACTGACTATTCCTGATGAGATATTAATGCTGCATTTGCTAACAATTTTGCATCTACAAAATTGAGAATTGACTCTGCCTTGTCTTATTATAACACTGGACCAATTTCAAAAGTGTTGGCAGATGATGCCAATAAGACAGAACCTCTGACTTTAGGAAAAAGGCAGCAGCACGATGGGCTTCTCTTTAACTAGTAATTAAAATATTTTTTCCTTCTAGATCTCTGTATCTCCTTAGAAATGCAAGAGTCAGGAATTCTCTGCAAGAACACT